GCTAAAAGAAAGGCTGGCCTTTTGAACTTACTTGGCGGGCCCAGAGGAGAAAAGACCTGCTTCTATCTTCATAGAAGTAGCCTGGGAAACGTTATAGGACAGTTCTACTCCGTTACACTGAGTCTCTGTGAGTCAGAATCATCTCAAGGAAGTACAACTTAAGAGAGTGGGAATCATCTTCATTGTTCAACTGTAGCTCTAAATTAGGTGGATTACTTAAGATCGTCATCTAATTGGAATTTTTTTTTTTGGTAAAGAAGTTATTGCGTCTTTCCTTTGCAAACTTATTTTTACAGATGACCATGGTGGCTGAAGGAGCTCTGGTAGCGTAGTGGTTACGAATCAGGCTGCTAATCTCAGTCAGCAGTTTGAAACTACTGGCTGTTCCGCGGGAGAAAGATGAAGTTTTCAGCTCCTGTAAAGATTTACAGCCTTGGAAACCCCGTACAGGGTCGCTATGAGTCGGAACTGACTCCATGGCACATAACAACAACGTTGGCTGGGATCTCAGAAGTGGCTTTGTCTCGACTGTTCTCCCATAGGCATTTCTTCACCTGTACAGTCTGAAGGCCAGGGTTTTCTGAGTAATTGTTCTCACTGTCTAGGTTAACCCTGCATGTGCATCACTGAACTGAGGTTATACATAGATGGGCACTGACAGAAGAGACACACATTTGTCCTGGGCTCAGTCAAGTGCTAACAGCCACCTCACATACCCAAGGGTCTGCCAGCTTCGGAATCCTGCAAGAAAGAACACACCAGTAGAATGCAGATGACATAGCCTTGCTACAAACGAACAAATCTGTCTGGAAGCAGTACAGTTAAAATGTCCTTTAGAAGCAAGAATGGCGTGACTCAGTTTCCCGGGCTTTGGACATTATTTGGAAGGATGAGTCCCTGGAGAACAACATCATACTTGGTAGAGGGTCAGCAAAAAAGAGGAATACCCTCAACAAGATGGACTGACACAGTGGTAGCAGCAGTGGTCTCAAACAATTGTGAGGATGGCACAAGATCAGGCAGTTTTGTTCTGTTATACATAGGGTCGCTGAGTTGGAACCAACTCAACAGCACCTAACAGGATGAGAATGTAGCAGAGAAGGTAAACGGATTTGGACAATGGAACAGTTGGTTGCTTACGAAAGACTAATCCAGGACTAAGACAAGGTGTGAAACAGCCTGACTTCCAGCAAGGGCCTGAACTGCCTCCTCTGGAGGGACCTGCCTCAGCCCCAAGGAGGTCTAATCAGATTAAACTTCCAAGGGCAATGACAGCAGTGACGGAACACTGACTTTGTGCTAGGTGCATGTCTGAACACTTGAGCTGGCTGAGGCAGAGAGAAGTTGAGCCTACGTCACACAGCAAACAAGTGGCAGAACGGACATGGGACCTAGGTAGTCCCTGCTTTTTGCTACACAGCTGGGCCTTTCACAGGTGTAATGAATGAGTTCTTCCTCTGAGCAGGTTCAAGTGTCCTAACCAATCAGCCAGGAAGAGGCAGCTTGAGTGTATGTGTGTAACTGCTTGATTTGGCTACATTGAAAAGCTGAATCACTGCGTGGTAATCTCAACCTCTGAACAGGAATCCACAAATTGTCATTAGTCACAAGCCCCATAAGGCTCTTATCTGTACAAACTCTTTTGCCCAGAATTCAATGCTGGTTCTCATCTTATGTGAACGCTGGAAATGTCCAGGTCAGAACAAGCTTTACTTCAGAGGTTCCAAGACATGCGATCCAAGGGTTTCAGTGTGAATTTACAAGATAATACTATTCTAAAACACTTCTGGATTCCCTCATTGTGAAATGTGGTGTTACTGTAGACAGGATTAAGTAGAATGGACTGGGTATGGTGGTGATGATGGTAATGGTATAGACTTGGGTCCTATTCAGAGACTTCACCAGTGATGTATAGTCTAGGGCATTCTTCCGTTGTCCCAGCCTGGCTCTTGGCTTACAGTAGGTGCTCAATTAAGGTCTGTTGACCTGAGTTGTTCTGACAAGACCTAACTTCATGAATCTGTGTGGCAAAACTAAGCACATTTTGCAAGAGCTTTGCTGTTGACTCTGAAGTAGCCCATGATGTTTGTCGCAACAGACATGCAAATGATGCCCAGCCACAGCTCTGGTCACCTAAGGGAGCCCACCTGTTTTTAAGGGTTCATGTGGGTTAAAAGAAGGAAAAAAAAATTCAATCACCTCAGGCCACCCCTAGAAGATCAGTAGTTCCATCAGTAAGTGTGGCACTGTAGGATAAAGGACTGGACTCAACCTCAGGGTTGGTGGTTCACTCATGTGGCATGTGATGGGAAACCTATAAGGGTTGCTAATGAGTCAGAACCAACTCAATGGCACTTAATAACAACACAAGAATAGTAGTCCTGGTGTGGCGCTGTAGGATAAGCACTGGACTGACAACCACAAGGTTTGTGGTTCAAACCCACTGACCGTTCCTTGGAAACCCTATACAGAATTGCTGGGAGTCGGAACCGACTTGACATTTAACAACAACACAATAAAGGAACATGCAGATCCCAGTAGAAATACTGTATTCATTTTTGAGGAAATGTGCTGTTTTAAGGCAAGTATCATACATACAAAACAGTGAGGAAATGACCAGTGTTTGATTAGCATTTACAACACGTTAGACACTAAGTGCAGGGGGCAGGGGACATGTTCAGATGAGAGAGTGGAATTTTCTCCAGAGGGTGGCTCCTGGACAACTGGGAGAGAAAGGGCACCTTCTCCTTCCTCTTCTCACCCCCAAGGCGAAGGGGACCGACTGACTGGATTTTATTCTCTAGACCTTAACACTTTGCCTCCAGCATTTCCAGCTTCAGGATGTAGAACACCCTCTGGCTCTAAGTGTACACGGAAAACAGTCCGCTCTGTGAGGAATTCATCTTTTAATATGGGAAAATCAGGATGCCAAAGCTGTACAGCGTGCAGTATTTTGTTCCCCTCTCTCCATACTCAAACTTGCTTGTATTAGCGCTAGCTGTATTTTTATGAAAGGGAAGATATTTACTAATGCCTGAAAAATAATGAAGATTTACTTGCAGTTTTGGAATCAAACCAAATGTTGAAAAGAGAAGGGTAATAAGCTTTAGCCAGAGGGCAAGTTCCCAGGAACCTCTCTGCTGAATTCCCACTCCCTCCTGGTGTAGCAGGAGACTGGAGCAGCTTAGCTGATTTGAAGAGGGTTGGGCTTCCCATGGGCAGGGTCAGCTCTGTGGCCAGCAGGGTTTATCCCCACCCCTCTGCTCAGTCAGCTACCCGATTCATCATGACAGTGTGAGCCTCTTCTATAGCGCCTGGGTGACACAGCCACAGCGAAAATGGGATAAATGAAGCTGAAAATTTGGGGTCTTTAAAGAAGCTCTGGTAGCGTAGTGGTTACGAATCAGGCTGCAAACCTTAAGGTCAGCAGCTGTTCCACGGAGAAAGATGAGGCTTTCTGCTCCTGTAAAGATTTACAGCCTCGGAAATCCTGTACAGGGTCACTATGAGTCAGAACCGACTCCATGGCACAGAACCACCAATGGCCTGTTGTGTGGTGGCAAGAACAGAGGCTGGGGCTGGGAGTCACAATGAAGTCAGACACCGTGGTGGAAAGTGGGGTGATTTTAAGTCATTAAAATGTGAACATCAGGAGACTATATATGATGCTACAAAACAACTACATGAACAACAACGGGCATGAGAAAAGTCTGCCAGTGTACACAGAAAACAGTCCTGTTAGTAAAAGCTGTTTGCCCCGAGAGCCCATGAGACTTCCAGGGAGAAAGGTATCACCTGGGTAGATGGATGTCAGCACTTGATAGATAAGAAGCAAAATGGTCTTCACAGATTCACTCAGCTTGCCCCACCATATCCCTCTGAGGTAGGTAAGAGGCAGGTAACATTAGTCCCATTTTACAAATGGGGTAAAGTGAGGCCTCAGGACTTGCTCTGAACTGTGCACACCAAGAGCCACAATAAAGCAGCGGTAGCATCTTGGTCCTCCACCACAATGGGAATGTAGTCTTCACAATCAAAAACTCCTCGTCTAAGTAACTGCAGGAATGTGGATCATGTCACTTAAAATTTTAACCTCGATGTACTGGCAGGAAAGGAGAGTTATGCTCCACAGAAGTCAGCTGTAGCCAGGGGTCGTGTGAATGGGGACAGCCCACCTCATTCACTGGGGTGGTTGTTGATTTTGTTTTTTCTGTGTTTATCTTTGCTGCAATGCAGCATTCTTAAAAGGGTCTAGTTGAATTAAAGTGATGCATTGATTCACCAGTGAGGGTGCTGAATGTGATAATGGCATCACTCAGCCCCCCGCCTGGCTCTGGCTTGTTGCTAAATCAGAGTTGATGGAGACAAAGCTACAGCGTTGTCAGAAACCCAGGATGGGAAGAGAAGGGGGACAATTGTGTATAACTTCCCATTCCTGATTAGAGTACTTCCCTTCCCCTTGCAGTTACACCCCTGCCCCCTTTCTGGGATCTCAGAATTTACATGACAGACTTAATGCCAACAATCAGCGACCCAAGCAGGCTAACATCTATCTGTATAGCACCTCAGCCTAACAGCAACCCAGTCCCCACCTTGTTGTAACACAAACTCTAAATACTTCCAGGTCCAGCTCAGTGAATTCCAGTCAAGGCGAAGCCTTGGGGAATTTTCCGTATTACTACTGCTCATGAGACAAAGCAACAGATGACTGTGGAAGTTGTCAGGTTGCCAAGGTGCAAAGAATACACCTACATTTTCCCAAGCTTGAACCACCAGGTCCTCATGAGTCCCCATTGCTTCTCGAGCCTGGCAACTCAATGGGGTGTCCCATGGACACATTTGCAGCTGGGCATGTGTCGATCCAAATGTCAGAATCTCCTGGTCCTTGGTTAACTAGTTCCACTAGGGCGCCCAATGCTAAATCATCCACACATTGGTCACTGGGCCAAAACGTTGCTTAGGAGGTTCAGGTCAGTGAGGAGAGGGCCCCATGCCCAGCAGCTGGCAAGCCCGTACCCATCCCTCATCACAGAACTGACTCCTTAGATTCCAGTTCTGAGGAACTGGACACGGGAACAATGGGATTCTTCTGTGTCACCAGAGGGGATGTCTCTTCCTCAGACTTGCTGTTGGGGATGGCTTCTACTTTCACCTCCATTAGCTCCTGCTCTCCTTTCTTCAAGGCCTTCTGATTCAGGTGATGGAGAATACCTGCACCCAGGGCATCCCCTTCCACATTCACCACGGTGGTGGTACGGTCCCTGGTAGGCAAAGAACAAAATGTGGCTGTGACATCCAATGGTGCCTCAGGCTACCAAGGAAGCCAGCCCTGTCTCCTCCAGGGGCAGTGACTATGAGAGGCCCTGCTGCTTTCTGACACTTCAGGCAAAAGGCCTCACCTTGCTCTCAGTGGATTCTTGTTCAGTATTTCCTATTCTTTCTACACCCTCATTGTAGAAAACCAGGGAAAAAAAGAAAGGTCTCAAGAATGACACAAATGTCACTCACCCATACTCTACAGCCTCCAGAGTCAGAATGAACATTTCGATCTATTTCTTGCCAGTCATTTTTCAATAGGAGTGTTTTATGTATAATAAACACCATTATATAAAAATTACACATTGGGATGATAGCATGTACTGTTTATGCCCAATTTTTTCTTTTACTCAACACTGAACTGTGGGAGTATCCCTACTTTTTCTTTACTTCAACATGCATTCAATTGAATATTAATCTTTACCTGCATTCCACAGCTGCTTGCTAACACTACCTCACAGAAAAAAAACAGCACTTTCTTTCCAGAAGCTTAATCATTTTTCCATAGATGAACCCACACCCAGTAGTCCCTGGCATTCAGAGGAAGTGCGTACCCATGCTGAAGAAAGGGGAAACGGGAGGCTGAAGTCCTGTGGAGGCTTCGAGCTGGGAATCAGAGGCTCTCAGCCTTGCTTGGGAGCTGATGTGACTCAGGTCTCTAGTGGACAGCCTGCTTGGTGTTTTGGTTCCCTTTTAGGCACCCACGTACAGGCACCTGGGTGAGGAAGGAGATGTGGCCTCTGCTCTGGCCCCGTGCAACTTGTGAGCTGTGGGGACAAGTTCCCTTTGTGATGAGCTGTCTTTATAAGGAGTCTCTGTGGCACATTTCATCTTTATTGCTCTGAGGAGCCCCAAGGAGCCTCTTCAAGGCTCCAAGGCTTAAGGAAAAACAGAAGGAAATCAGGAACCTACCGTACCAACCACACAAGCCCAGTGCAGGCGTTTGTGGCTTAGCTACTTCCTGTCTGGCTCTCACTGGCTTGGACAGGAGGTAGTTTTCTTTGCTAACATATACCGAATACTTTACCAAGTGCCCAATACTCTTGTTCTGTGTGCTGTGCATGCACTAGCTCATGCCATCTTCACCACAGTCCTGGTGTAGATGCTACAACAAAGGGGTTTCAAAACTCATGGAATTAGAAGATGAGGAATTTTCCCACAAATGTTTTGACACTCCCTCGTATTGTTCCCATTTTTAGTTAGCTAAGAAAACGGAAGCACAAACCTATTAATATCATATAATTACTCAACAGTGAGGTCAGGATTTCAACTCAGGCCCTTGGGCCCCAGGGCTCCATTTTTTCAGTGATATGCTCTACTATCTCTCAATATCCGTATCTCAGCTGACCTTCCCTATAAAAGGGCTCAAAGGCATCATGGGACTCATAGAATCGACACCTAGAAGCTGTTTTGTATCTTCAGAGTTACCCTAGAGATGGTCTGGATTGTGCCTCCTTCCCCAGTTCCTCCTCTTTGGAACCCAAGCCCAAGCCACTCTGATGAAGAGTGTTCATCTTCTTTCCCTTCGCAGAAGCCACTCCGTGGACAATTCCAGAGCAAGGGTCACCCACCACCTCCCCCCGCGAAGGATCACGACTCCAATGACTATTACTCCTACCTATGCTGTCAACATGCTCTCAGGTCTGGTGGTCCCTGGGCCTACCCTGGGAACTCAGCTTTTCTGGATGCTACAAGCAAGGTCTCAGGAATGACCACATTTCATGGCCACTCAGGGTCCTTTGACTCTCCTGTTGTTTAATTTTTTCTAGCTCTAAATCTTGTTCTCCATGCTCAACCATAAGCCCCTTCAGGAGGCAGGGACCCTGTTTTAAGTTTCCTGCATGGTGCAGACTGGCAGAGTGTGTTTCCTGACTTGCATGTTTATACAAGCAGTCTTCCAACCCCCCATGGGACTCGCTACTTACACAATCCAGTCCACGGCCAGGATGAGAGAGAGATCATTAGTGGGCAGCCCAATGGCCTCCAGGATAATGGCAATGGTGAGGACCCCTCCAGCTGGCACGCCTGCCGCCCCAACACTGGATGCTGTGGCCGTCACTCTAGAGGATTGCAAAGCAGGGCCAGACATTAGCACGGAGCATGGAATGTCCGTGGAGACATGCCAAACATGCCAGCCATGACTCGGAAACTGCAAATCACACACACTCAATCTGAGATGCTGCCAGCTCTCACACTCAATCAGAGATGCTGCCAGCTAAGGCCTTGAGAGATGATCCACTCTCTTCCGGTAATGAATGTGCACCGTCCTCATTTTATAAAAGGAGTCACCTGAGATGTGACGAGATTTTCTCATGAGGGGTTTCAAAGGAAATCACAAAAAAGACTTCAAATTTTGACCCATGCCTACAGTAGCAGGACAGAGGGACTCACAGGATGGTGAAGATCTGCCCTGCGTTCAGTTGGACGTTATTGAGCTGGGCGATGAAGACTGCAGCTACGCATTGGAAGATGGCCGCACCGTCCATGTTCACAGTGGCCCCAATGGGGAGGATGAACCTGCTGATCCTCTTGTCGACGCCATTGTTTTCTTCAATGCACTTCATCATAGAAGGAAGGGTTGCTGAGCTAGATGTGGAAACAGAAAGTCAAAACAAAATAGACAACAAAACCCAACAAGAAACCCTGACAACACCCCTTCCTGCCAGGCTCACATACCACACATCCAGAAATCTAGGAGACTAATTAGCACCAGTCCAGTTTTTACTATGCCTTTGGCATTCTTCCTTTGCAACAGGAAAAAGTACCCAAGAATGTCTCAAAGTTTATGTCATACTCTTTGGAGTTGCTTGTTATGTTTTTTACTTGGAATCATCTGTTCCAAATTTCCCAAGAACCGTACATTTCCTCTCGGTGCAAAATGTTCTCTAGATGACCAAGAACTATTTACTCTATCCATGCTCATACCCTTTCTTAGAAAAGTTTTTTTCCAAAAAGTAAAGTGTAAATATGATTCACCCCTAACCCCCCACTCTCTTAGGCCAAGAAGCAGAAAAACTCTCAGAGTTTATAAGGAGTAACTAAGTAGATGTGAAAAGTCCACAGTTAAGAGCAGGACTCATGCTCTCCAAGTTGGTTCAGCGTGCTCCGCAGGGGTTAGCTGCACAGCTGAGAACAAAGCTAGTTGCGGTATGTTGTTGTTGCTGTTAAGTGTCATTGTGTCGGTTCCAACCCACAGCAGCTCTGTATAGGATTTCCTAGTAGTGGTTGGTGAGTGGTGGTTCAAACTAACTTTGCAGTCCAGCGCATTAACCCACAGCGCTAACAACTCCGTACCTCTTTCCAGCACCACATCTTGTCAATAGAAATAGCCATCAAGGGTGGAAGGAAGGGTGCCGCGGAGAGGAAATGTTGAATGTCTAAATGAAATGATGTACTGATACCTTTGGAAGTCTCTTTAACATACTTTGAAAAGCCAACAATTTTTTGAAGGTTTTACAATGAATGAAAAGCGATAAATTGGAGTATTCCACAGAACTCTGCGAGAGTGGAGAACACATCCCTCACCACGCTGCCTTAGTCTAACATAAAGACTCAAGGGATGATTTCGGGCAATTTCAGACTAGAAACTGCCTGATCCACCCTTTATGGATGCATGAATTAGAAGGGAAAAAAATTACACACACACACACACACACACACACACACACATATAGCTCTCTCTCTATATATATATATGAATGAAATGTTGCTAAGTACCATCAAGTCTGTTCTGACTCATAGTGACCCTGTATAGAGCTTCTGAGAAAGATCTGGTAAGTTTGAATTGCCAACCATATGGTTCAAACCAACCTTGCAGTCAGATACTTACCTTAACAGTGTCAGCGGCAAATATATGTATGTATTATATATGTATTTTGTTATTGTTGTTAAGTGCCATCAAGTTGGTTCCAACTCATAGCAACCCTGCATAGGGTTTCATAAGTGTGTTTTTCCTTCTAATTCATACATCTAGCTCTATCATATTCCTGTGGGGATGGGTTTTGTCTTATCCCTTCCTCTACTGAGGTTCCCTTATTCCCTTCTTCCTCTCTTGCTTAGTCAGATCATTAGTTAGGCCAGCTCTGGTTCCCTCTCCCTAATTTGTAAGGTCTTTGCCTGAGTGAAAGAGGGATGCCCACCTAACTGAATGGATGCATCAAAGGACAATTTCTAAAAGAGAACCTGCCCAATCCATCCTTTCTGGATGACAGATTAAAAGGAAAAAAAAAACTAAGTAAGAGAAGGAGTCAAAAATTATCCACACTGTGATTATATTAAAACGCCCAGCCACGTCCACGGCTGATGATAACATTGAGCGTGCATGTGAAATGATCCCATCGAATAGATGAGTGCCAGTGGATTATGTGGCAAATCATTTGCAAATTAGCCACGGCTGTGCCTATGAAACAATCCATGGTAGACTTGGGTTTGTGCGAAATGAGTACCGAAATAACTCACGGAAGAGCATAAATAGAAGCGTTTGGACATCTGCAAACAAAATTTGAACCAATACTCAAAGGTAAAGTTTCCTGAAAATAAATGTCAGAATATGGAAATCTCCTCAATCGCCCGCTGATCAAGAAAAAGTTCAAGTCAACCATCATCTGGAAAATTGATGCTTAGACAGTTTTCTGCGATTCTCAAAGGCTCGTAATGGAACATTACCAGGAAGAAGTTCAACAATCAAAAGTGCTTGTTACAGTGAGATGCTCACTGAAGTGCTGAAGTCTAAACTTCAGATTAAATGCAGAGGACTGCTATCCAAGGGTGTTGTGATCTTGTATAGTAATACATGTCTACACACCTTTGCCCTCACTGTTGATGCTCTGAAAAAACTTTTGTTTTGAGGTGTTAAAGCATCCTCCCTATAGTCCTGATCTCGCGTCATAAGACTTTCACCTGTTTGATCCCCTGAAAACAGCTCTTTGAGGACAAAGATTCACCTCTGATGAAGAAGTGAAGACAGCAGTGCATTCATGGCTCACAGCTCAGCCTAAAACATTTTCCAATGAGGGAATATGAAAGCTTGTTGACAGATGAACAAAGTGTATTGAAAAGTAAAGAGATTATGTCGAAAAATGACGTACTCGGCTTTTCTAAAAGTTGATCAAAATAAATTCTATAGCCACAGTGCAGGTAATTTTTGACTCACCCTCATATGTTAAATATGTGGTGGTGGTGGTGATGTGCCGTTGAGTCAGTTCTGACTCAAAGCAACCTTGTATATGGTTTCCGAAGCTGTAAATCTTTAATAGAGCAGAAAGCCTCATCTTTCTCCCAAGGACCGGCTGGTAAATTAGAACTGCTGACCTTGTAGTTAGTCCAAATTCACCAGCTGCTCCTCAGAAACCCTATAAAGGGTAGCTATGAGTCAGAACTGACTGGATGGTTCACAGTCCAGTGCTGATCCTACAGCGCCACATCAGAAGTATATATATATATTGTTGTTGTTGTT